TCTCTTCTTCTTTTCTCTCTCATTCTCCCCCTCCCTCCCTTTCCTTTTTTTTAAGATTTATTTATTTTATGTATGAGTGCTTCATCTGCATGTACACCTACATCCCAGAAGATGACATCAGACCCCATTATAGATGGTTGTGAACCACCATATGGTTGCTGGGAATTGAACTCAGGATCTCTGGAAGAACAGTCAGTGCTCTTAACCAGTGAGCCACCTTTCTAGCACCACTCTGAACTTTCATCCCCAGTGCTCATGACCTCAGAGGCCTGTTTCTCTATCATGAGAGCATTTACCTCTGGTGGACAATGACGTATGTATAAATCCTCTTGAGCACAAAATTCAACGTCCTTCATCTCAATTTTCCACCTTCCAGTCATTGAGTTTGTGCTTTGCCCAGCATTAATCACTACACATCTTTGAGAAATAGATAAAATATGGACCAAAACCAGAAAGTGTCCAGAGGGTGGTTTGGGAAGTTTCATTATAATAACAGCCCCCTCAGCTTGAGGTAATGGGAGAAAGGCCATCACTGCCCAGGGTGACTATGTCAGTGGAGTTCATTGGGAATGGTAGAAACACAGCAAAGATGTGCTCACCTCACACCAAGGAGACAAGGAGATCTCCATTATGAAGATGACATAAAGGAACAGCAACAGCTAGCCATGGGATGGAGAATATGAAGGTCCCTGAGACAGAAGCACAGAGGCCATGTCTATGGTGCTTATCCCAATGGGCTTGGCAAACAGATATGCTAGAAGGATAATGTCAGCAGGGGAGGGAGCCTGGCAAGCACGGTTCTAGTAACCCAGGCAGAGAGAGGGGTGTGATGTGGTAAGGACCCATCCTGGAAACACTGAGTCATCTGAAAGGGGCAAATGGTCCACACTCCTCCATAGCACAGCCATCTCCTCAGTCCTTGCTGTGGAAAGGCACATCTGTGCACACTCCGGTTTACAAACTTCACTAGGCCCCGAGTCACGCCCAAGAGGGGGACAAGGCGAGCATTTGGAAGTTTTATAAGTACGTCTTTGATGTGATTTTATGAGCAGCGTTAATTTCCTTCCACATGAATAGCTTTAATAACGCTGCAATCTAAATCCTGCTTAAATTAGTTTATATTGTTTTTCTGCTTTCTCGGTGATCTTTCCACTGAATACCAAATTGAATTTACAGTCGTGAATTGAAAATGACCGTCCTCAGTATGCTCCAGTAGCCATCCAGCAGGAGTTACTGAGTTGGTGTTAATAAGTATAAATTAAAGTCACTTCTAATATGGCAACAAATGTTGACTGGCATTTCTAAGTGAGCCTCAACTAACATGTTTTAAATTTAATGTGAACGGCAGCGCATCAATCATTATCAGCCTGTTAGTCCCAAAGGGTCCAGAAAGCAAGGTAAACTTGGGAGTTTTCAAAACTACACGATTCACTTAAATTGGTTGGATTCTGTGTGCCGATCCTCGCCAATGGGTAGAATGCCTCTCTGGCTACCTAAGCTTCCAGTGCAGGGCTTTCTGCTGCTCAGTCTTGGAGTTGCTGTTTTCTGTCTGACAACTACCCACTAACTGCTCCTCGTCACTTACGATCAACGCTGAGTCCCAGTCATGGCAGTGAGGAGCAGGAAGACAAGCTTTTGAAGATGAGGAAACACAACAGATTCGTTGTTGTTGTTGTTTTCTTTTTAACCATTTAAGTGTGTTCTTTCTGGTAGAAGCTCATTATACCTAGGAATTAGCAACCAGGAATCAGAGAAGAGAAGAGAGTACCCGGGAGGAAAACTGAGTGAAAGGAGCTATCTTACTCTTTCCATTCTCTTCTTCCTTTCTAAGCTAAAAAAAGAAAAGAAAAGAAAAATTTGAAGATGTCCCCCTTCCTTGGTGCTGTGTGAAGACTTAAGTCACAGCAAGGATGAAAAAAAAAATAGCTCATGAAGTCAATCGTCTTTCCTGTTGTGATTTTATTTTTTAAAGGGGAAAATAGATTTCTTATAAGTATCCGGTTTATTCCTGCTGTCTGTCCCGAGGTCCATTCTCCTAACATATATTGGCAGGGAGAGAGGGAGAGAGTGTGTAGGGAGGCAGAATTTATTCTGACTCTTAAGAGTCACAGTGGGCCTCTCACAAACATAATGCTAAATTATGGGCCTCTCCATGGGCTGAGTGTAATGTTAAGTTGTATGATGGATTTTATCTTAACACAAGCCGCTTCGGTCCATGAAATGAGATAAGAAACCACCGCAGCCGGAGTTCACAGAGGGTTGAACTCAGACTGAAATCCCAGAGTTAACACAATTGTGTGAGTCAGCTTGGGTATTAAGACTGTGCTCTGTGCTCAAGAAACAAATCTTGCAAGGAAGCTGGAGTCTCCCTGTGGGTGTGCCCCTGCCAGTACCTCCTCTGGGTCAAAGGTGAGCACACGGTTAATCAGCGGCCTGCTGGGGATGTTTGATCCCTAAGTCCAGGAGGAAACAGTATATTATGGCCTATCTTACATCAGCAAGAGCAGCTTTAAGTCTGGAGAAGGTAGGCTACACTCCTCCACAGGATCCTAAGTAGAGGGTGTCCTGCCCTGATGTACCAAGCATGTCTCTGGGCAAGTAACAGCCTTACTAAGGAAATAGTACCTGGCTGGGAGGACTCAGAAAAAGAGGGCTAAAGATAACCACATCCTGCAGGATTCACAGAGCCCTTCAAAAATACCCTACTGATAACCAGGAGTCAATGGTTGATTTAGGAAAAAAAAATGTGCTTAATAAAAGCAAAATTTCCTTCTGAGTCTCCATCTGTCCACCTGGAGTGTGTATATGTTTACAAAGCTAAACAAGACAGGGGTGTCTCTGAAAGTCTTCTATGGAGCAGACAGGACCTGGAGAGATAAGTTCGTGGGTAAGTATCTGGTTATTAAGGTCTAGTTTTGCTGCTTATTTTGAGGATTAAGTCTATCTTCCTTACTTGATTGAAAAAAAAAATGGTGGTTTTTCCTCTGTCACATTGGCCAGAAGTAGAAACATACAAATGGCAGTGTTCTTCCCTCGATTTTGCTTGGGAAGTACACAAGGAGCCTTCAGCAGTAGTCGCATCGGTAGATGCTGTCATAGATGGCATACACCTTCCAGTTGTAATTCACGTAATCACCTGCACACCTGCCTGCCTCCACCTCCGACCCATACAACCAGCCCCAAACAAGCAAGTTCATTTCTTTGAAATACATTTTATCACTTATTTACAGAGCCTCCACTTCTTCCTCCCACCTGAGGTTCAAACCAAGTTCACATGGGCTTTGCACTAGCCACCCAAAGCAAAGGCTGGCCACCTTGTGTGTAGAAAACTAGCAAACACTCCATTTTTCACTGTAGTAAACATTAAACTGAAAATGAAATTACTTTTGAACTTCAGTAGAACAATAAATGACTTGATTTCTTTTACCTGCTTTGGGAACAGTGTATCCTACTACACGAAGTTTTAAGATAGTGTTTCCTGTGGTCTACATGTTGACGTTAGCTTAGCTATCTGTATAAATAACAAAAATAATTGTATCATCATATAGCATTTCTGATAAAGAAATACAGCGAAGGCCAAATAAGTCCATAAGGTTTTGAAGTCAACCTTAAAGCATAATCTAGGCTTGATGTGAGAATGGGGTGGGCAGCTATACCTAAGACCTCCCAGCACAGCTCCTGGAGACATAACTGAGTGAGAAGTTCTAGGTGGTTCCATGGAACCAGAGGAAGAAGAGAATATTGAAGCTGTAGAATGACAAAGCCGCCCTCCGCCCTCCGAGGAGAAGGAAAGCTAATTTGCCAAGTTCTGAGAATGTGCTACCTGGGGAGACCACACATGCTTTGAGAACAGCCAGATAACATGACTTTTTCTTGCTGTCACCTTCCATTCTAGATGACAGCAAGTTCTCCGAGGCTATTACGGTTCTGCTGTCCTGGATAGAGCGCGGGGAGGTAAATCGGCGCTCGGCAAACCAATTCTACTCCATGGTTCAGTCGGCCAACAGCCATGTACGCAGGCTCATGAATGAAAAGGCTACCCATGAGCAGGAAATGGAGGAAGCAAAGGAGAATTTTAAAAATGCCTTAACGGGGATCCTCACTCAATGTAAGTAACACTTTGGGGGCCATCTCTTTTGTTACAGTTTGGCCTTTTTCTTTTGTACCCATTTTATGTTCTCATGTGGGGGTAAGTAGCTCAGAAGTCTCCCATTTTACTCCATATTGAATGGCACACCTCATAACCGATTCATGTTCTGTGGCATGTGGAAGAGCACGGACCTGCCCTGAGAGCTTACTTCTCAAGGTGAGCAACATTTCTGTAGCTTTTCCTCAGAACGCCATGCTTGGCCCCCAGGACAGGGCAGCCAGGTGCATCTGGGCTTACTGGACCCACCTCAGTTCACACCACCTGTGCCAGGCAGCCACTGTCCACCTGCAGGCTGCCCACCCAGACCTGTATGTCTTCTTGGGACCGATGACAGGAAACAGGCCTTGAACATGTCCCTGGGGCTCTGTTTAGGGAGAAGGCACTATTAGCAAACCCCCTCTTCAGGCTCCTAGTGAGGTGAGCTCTGGCCATCTGCACAGATGACTCAAGAATAGACTTCCGTCCTTTCTTCATTTGGAAAGCAAATTGCCTTAAACACTTAATGCCCGTGATTTTTCACGTGGAGATCCTGAATTGATGAGGGAGCATAAATGGAGCTTTCTAATAGAACAATAGTCACGGTAATTACCCCTGGGCTCTATTCAAAAAAGGGGGCGTCAACCTTCTCTGTGGCACTCCACGTCTGCAGTTAATGTCACAGCATCACAATGAAGCTCAGCTCCTGATGGTCTTGTCACTTGGTAAAAAGCTGTTGAGTGACACCGCCCCAGGGCCTCTGCTCCATTCCATTCCATTCCAGGTGTGGGGACCCACCCATGACAGCAACACATGCAATTTACATATTCATTCTGAAGAGGCGTATCATTTGCAGTGATCTAGTGTGCCAAATGCCTGCCACTCCTTCATCGGCGCAAACCTAAGGGGTAATGCGTCTGTTAGGACAGGAAGGCAGAGTGGGACGATGAGCCAGGGTCTTAAATATGAAAGCATCTCCCACGACTTTGTTGCCACCTCGACAGTTTTTGCAGCAGCACAGAGTAAGTGCCGTACAATGAATCCCCAAACATAAACTGGTAGGTGACCAAGTGTTCAGTACAGGAGCACTTGGCCTTGAAAGAAAAGGACTGTGAGAAACAGGTGCATTCCGCCTCACAGGGATCGATCGGTACCATACTAGCAAATCTCATCAGCACTGAATGACTTTGAGCCAGCTGTGGAGGTCCAGCCACACTAGAGTTAGGACTGTCAGGGGGAGAATACGGAAAGTTAATACTGACTCTAGCTTTGAAAGGAAGAATGACAGCAGAGAGAAGGTAAGAGTGGGCTGGCAGAGAAAAAAAGAAAGACTAAAGAGTATGAGAAGAACAGCTCCTGGGTGGATATGGTTGGAATCCATGTGCCCAAAAGGTAGAGTGGTTACTTACTGTTTACTTACTCTCTGCTTAGGGGACTTGATTCTGACCACCTCCCCATCTGCATCTGCAAGCCATTTATTGTCTCCTTTTGCAAGGACTCAGCCCTTGTCAGAAGACACAGTAGGCATCCACGAGTTAGAATAGGAGAGAATCATGCTCTCCTGGCAGTGATATTCCATAGGGACTAATGGAAAGGAGGCTGGAAGAATAGAACACGCCTTCCTGCCCTCGGGCCAGATTTGAAACAACTAGGTAGAGGGGATACAATGTATATCGTCAATGGGCCTCATGGACAGGGGATCCTCTAGAGGAATCAGTGAAGTTGAAACCAAGGAAGCCCATGCTTAGTAGGGATGGCTGCCAGAGCCGGCGCTTGAAATGCAGATGACTGAGCTCTTTCCTTCAATCTCCCAACCTTTTCCTTTTTCTAGCTCTGCTCTCCCATTTGAATAAATCCTTTGACTAACATCTTATAAGCACTCTTTATACTCTTCCTTCCATCAACAAAGGTCTACTATTTGGGCACATGGCTTTTGACCACGTTTTTACCTGAAAAAGCACAGCCCCGTGTGGCACAAATGTCTCATTTTGATGGCCACTACTCACATTCATGGAACCTAGGCACCGCTAGATGTATGTCCACTTGTCCAGAAATCTCTACCAACCTGGTTGGCTTCACACACAGACAAAAGCAGACATTAATGTTTGCAGACCAGTGCAATGGTTCAAGGTTTCTACGCATACCTCACTGGGCCCAACAGTCTCTATGTGGTCAAGCCTAATGATGAGGAAAGTGGGAAACAGAAGTCCCAGCTGGATGCTGATCTCTAGGATGAGCTTGAGTTGCTCACAGTATGGAAGAGCAAGGGCTTCTGGGAAGCACTATTTCCTTTCCTTTTCAATTTCCCATTTGCATACCATCTGACAGACATCTGAGTGTCCCACCCCCACCCCACCTCCAGGTAGCTTCCCATTCTACCTTAAGTTCTCTGCACACTCCCACTGGCCTTAGCTCCCCAGCCTCAGCATCAGTTTCCCCCCAAGACTCAATGGTCACCCTCACTGGCCTTATCCTTCCTGAGGTGAACAAAGCTGCCTCCCACCTCCGGGCTCTCATACATTTGGTTCCCTCTGCTTACCTTGCTCTTCCCTGTCTATGCATGCTGCAGTCTTTGTCACCCTTTAGTGTGTTGGCTGAAAGGTCATCCTCCTGGGAGGTCTTTTAGTCCCCCTACTTCTGATGGGCTTTCCACCATAGTACCTTTGTGACACTTGTCCAGGTGCGTGATGAGATCCTGGGTTATGAGTGGAATGAGGAGGGACACATGGGTTAGAAGAGACAGACATATTCTGGTTTGGGGAGGGCGGGAGAGAGGGAGTCAGTAAGCAGTGAGTAAGCTGCATAGCAGGTGAGAAGAGAGCCTGACACACTTCATTCAAACACCGCCCATAGCCACGTATGTGTACACCATGTTCCCAGTGCTGGGGAGGCTGAGGCATGGCTGTAAGGCCAGCCTAGACTAGATAAGTAAGACCCTGTCTCAAAACAGAAAAGAGGAGGGAATAGAGAGGGGGGAATTTTTCATGGGTAATAGGGTTTCAGCCTGCATGTATAATGAATCAAATAAATCAAAGAAAGCTTGCTGGCTGTGCTCTCATTGAAAATCACTGTGCCAGGCTAGAGGCTATTAGTAGGGTTGTATGCAGGTCAGCAGAGACACTGATGGTGCACCCTTCCCCTTTATAACCTTCCAACAACCGTTAGGTTTATCATCTACCAGACATTCTTTGAGGAGGCTCTCCTTAGCTCTGTAATTCGGTTCTCAGTAGTATTTCAGTAACGGGCAGTTATCAGTAGACTGTGAAAACCCCAGCTGATGTTGACAGCTCAGTGCTGGCTGAGGAGTGCGTACCCCATCTGTAGCTTGGAGGGGTTCGGACATATCCATGAAAGCCAAACTCTTCCAGGATGACTTGACGACAGAAGAAGCAAGTGAGCAGCCTGAGCTGGAATCAAGCAGACCAGGTGACAAGGCTCCATTAACAGCCTCAACTTCCCACTCTTTTGTGTATGCTTCTGTACAACAATGACCACTCCCTGAACACTGAGGGAACGACATCCTCACATCCACTCTGAAAATATTAGCAGTGGCCTCACTGACCTGGAAGGCAGTGTGTCTGTCTCATCGCTCTGTGGACACACTATGTGTGGCTTCAGGATCGATCAAAGTGAAGTAGGGAGGGAAAGAAGAAATGACAAGACACACAGACAGGGAAAAAATGAAAATGGGTGCACACGGCTCTCTCCCCAGCACTGGGCAGCTCAGCATGCTTATTATATATAGTTGAACGAGGAAGCATGGCCATTGTACACAGAGGAACAAGGCGATGGGTTTAGCTAATCTCAGTAGGAATGTGCTGTAGAGAACAGTCTTCAGCCTGTAAATATGGAGGAGGAGCTATCGGGGACGTTTTCTGCCTACTCATCATTCTCACATGGACCAAAGAAGGCTTTGCCACTCCCAAGGGGCACTGTAGCCCTTAGCAAAGCCTCGATTGTGTCAAGGACACACTCACTCAGGACTTCACTACCTCCCTGCCCCCTGTGCATGAGTCTGTCACATCTCCTGACCTGAGCCTGTCCTCTTTCTTAATAGGGGTTTGTTAGTATATCTAGTTTCCCAGGCTTGGTCCAGTTATGGGAAACCTGGCTCTAGAATTAATGCCACATGTCTGCTTTGAACACAGTAACTGCTGATTAACATATTTGTTGAAATTTCCAAATTCAGACTCAGTCAAACCCTATTCTTCTATATTAATATTCCTGGCAAACTCAAACTCTACATGAATTGCACTTGGTTTTCTGAGGTTGGGGTTGTGTAGTATTGATATCCCGGAGGTAATATCTCAGCTTACTTTCTCCTATATGATCTCCTCATTAGGCAGGAGTACTGTCTTAGTTAGGGTTTTACTGCTGTGAACAGATACCATGACCAATGCAAGTCTTATAAAGGACAACATTTAATTGGGGTTGGCTTCCAGGTTCAGAGGTTCAGTCCATTGTCATCAAGGGGAGAGCATAGCAATGTCCAGGCAGGCAGAGCTGAGAGTTCTACATCTTCATCTGAAGGCGGCTAGTGGAAGACTCAGGCAAGCTAGGATGAGGGTCTTAAAGCTTACAGTGCCATACCTTCTCTAAAAGGCCACACCCAGATAAAGCATTTAAAGAGCAAGCATTTAAAGAGCTGCTCCTGTTGCCAGCTAGCCAGCTAGAAGAAAGAAATCAGCAATGTTCTTGACATTTCATATACTTCCAACACCATCAGTTACCTTCTAGCTTTGCTGGTGTGCTCTTCCGCCAACATTTACACATGTTCTGGAAACAGCTTTGTAATGAGTCCAGTAGACATTGTTTTCACGTGAGCTTTGCCTTAAAGTGTCAAGGAGCAGTAGCCATGATCAGCAATAGAAAAGGACCTAGTAATATTAAATTCAGGAAGATGCGTGAATATAGTAAGCATGAATGAAAATTAAAAACTATGATGTCAGAGTGAAGGCTAAGGATCTTGCTTCTAATTTTCC